GGCAGAGGTGTGTTACAGGAGATGCATGGGATGTGGTGAGAAAGGCTGAAAGAATCCAAGGGCTCAGCATATTTGTAAAGGTGTTTCAGCTGAAACAGGGAGATGAGCAGAAAACATAAAACAGAAATACCCAATTCTTAATAACTATGAAGACTCAGGTCCCTGCCATAAACCCCAGACGCCTCACTACACTTTCTGTCTCTGACAGTCAGTATGCACTGAGGAGAGGAAGGGTAAAGCAGCTTCCCATGCAGCTTCACCATTAGCCAGAGCCTGGCAGGGAGCTCCACACTGCTACCTGGGAGCAGTGCCCTCCCCAGGAACCTCCAGGTGCCCACCTCGCACAGCTGCACTGCACCTCTCATGCGTGCGCCGAAGGAGGGCAACAGAAACCATCTCATTGGCACAAATATGAACACAGCAACCCCCAACAAACCAGACAGCTGCCAAAGGAAAACCTGCCAGGCATTCTGGTACCTTCTGGAGCGAGTTACTTCAGCTATAAACAGAATTTGGCTAGATCCAAAAATCCCTTTCAATTTATTTTCAGAAAAACTTTATTCACCCATTTGAAATAGCCTGACTGAAGCTATGCAGTGGGAGGCAAACTCTGATGGAGAGGCAGGAACAGTTGAGCTGTGTGTATGCTGTTGACCAGTTGTATTGTGGAATCTAGAGACCAGAAGAAAGGTCTCAGTTTCAGCAAAATTTAAATCTTGGGAGAAAAAGGTTTCTATGTTTTTATAGAAAAACATCAGAGTAAAGTAAGAACAGCGAGAAAATTATTGCAGTACCATGAAGGAATGTTCTCTAGTGAAATACTTCATTATATATGCAAGATAAGGTGAGAACAGAACCGTGAAAGAGGTAGGAAACAAAACCACATTTCCTTTCCTTTACTGGGAAAACTCCAGCAGAATTATGACGTACTGCAAATGCAGATTTAGTACTAAGAATTTTTACCACACTCTGCTGGTGTGGTCAGGAATAGCATGAAGTAAACCAAACTAATCCCACAGAACAGACAAGTAGAGTTATGCAGGGCTTAACTCAGTGTAGCTGCCCTTAGACTTACACTGGAGAATGCAATTTAATCCTGTGAGATTGATTCTCTCCATGGAGTCACTGAATCAGAAAGGCTGTAAAAGACCTCTGAGATTATCAAGTCCACCACTGTCTTCAGGTCCCATACCCCATAATTTTTGAGCCCTTCAGGGATGGTGACTCCACCACTGCCCTGGGCAGCCTGTGCCATGGCTTGACAACTCTTCCTGTGAAAAAACTTTGTCTAATATCCAATCTAAACATGAGGATGTTTCCTCTCATCCTATCCCTTGTTACCTGGGAGAAGAGCCTGGCACCAAGTGTCCTGCTGCCTATTTGCATATAGTTTACTTAACACAGATCCGACACTGAGCACTACTTTATGCCAAAAGGGAGAGGTAGGAGTTGTGCATCCAACACCTGAGTGCAGGGTCTGGGTATCACTGGCCTGGGATAAGAGTCTGGGCTGAGAAAGCACAACTTTCTTTTCCCTACTTGGACTGGAGATACTGGATACTGGCATACAAACCATTTGCTTCATGAAGCAAAAGGAATAACCGACAACTTGGGAGCAAAGACACACCTAGTAAACATGGAAATCATCCCTTCTGTAAATAAGCTGTGGCCTTTGCCTCCCTGGAACTTTGTATTAGGAGCACAAGGCGTGTGGCCAGTGAGGAATACTGATGTCCAAGGCTGGCAGAGTGATGCTAATTAAACTTGTCATGCCCTTCTTTGTAGTCACTTCACACTCCCATTCGTATTTCCCATCCTTGCCAGCAAAGGGCAGCCTCTAATGATTGCTGTGGATCTTTGCATATGGGATGCTCCTGGAATTCCCAACCATTCCAGGCATAGGTGTGTGGTGCATGCATGAGGGAGAGAGGAAGGGAAGACAAGAGGTAGAAGTCAGTGGGATTTTATGTTTGTTGGTTTCTTGGTGCTTTTTTAAAACTGTATATTAACTCCTGTAACTAACGTCCCATGAAGTTCCTCCAAGTTACATTTTGGATGCCACTGTGCCTGAAGTATCCACAGTCAGCCCTAGCTCAGTGGTGTCAGGCCTCAGTGTGCCTGCCCGAGTTACACACCCAGCAGCTGGGTACTTCTTTGGCATACCTGGATGGTGTACTGGTAGGCTCCTGCTTTTGGCTGACAAGGAAACATCAGAATGCTGGGTACAAGCAATATTGGAACATAGATCTCCACATCCTGCTGGTTTCTCACTGGAACTGGTAAGGTATGAACACCTCCATCCTGCAAAGTGCAAAACCACGGTGTTATAAATGGCACCGCAGAGCTTCCCAGAGTTAATGTTTAGTCCTTAGGTACAGACATGTCCTTGAAAACACCTCAGAGAGGAAGGAAAACTATTTAGGACCACTTATGAACAGAGCTCCTAGTGAGCAAATAGCTCCTGGCAGCAAGGTGTGCCACTGTACTAAATGAGCGCTGATGTTATGAAGATCCAGGTGCCCACATTAATTTAAAAGGCAAGAAAAAAGATAGTCTTTCATTGCTCCTATTTTGAGACCTCCCTTGGAGAACCAATCTGGAGGCTCAACACCTATATTTACTCTTTGCTCATCCCACTGTGTACAAAATTCAGCCTGAAAGCGCCCTTGCTCAGCCCTCCCTCCCAAACATTGGCCTTCACAGCTCTGCTGTCACTGCAGTGCTACGACCCTCTGGCACAACACAGTGTTGCTGCAGTTCTGAGGGAAGAACAACTCTCAAGGGATGCTCTTCCACTGAAGAGAACATCTCTGACACAGAAAATGACTGAGGTGTATCACATTGAAGGAGCTACTAAATCCTGCTCAAGGAATCACTAAATTGATTTTACAGCAAATGGGTTCAAGTGTTTAATTTTCAAGCAAAAGCAATTCACTTCCACACCACGTGCCCTAGTTAGCCATACATTCAGCAGCCTGCCCAACCAGCAGAAAGTTAATGAATATTAATTTGGAGAAATGTGCAGGCTGATACATTTGGCAAATTGTCATTCCAGAGTTTAAGGTCACTTACCAATTGATAGCAAACTTCCCCGATGTAACTGACTGCAGAACAAGGTCAGGGTATGAGTGATGATCCTACCACAATAAAGTGTAAAATTCCCTCAGCCTTGTGAGAGGCCCCTTGCCCAGCACAAGGATCTGCCCCAAGAAAAGAAATCAGTGCCGTGTACCACTGCCCTAACAGGAGTTTGCCACATGCTCGGGAGCAAAATCCCACAGTCTTTAATTTAAGCAAATCCTCTTTTGACTCAACTGACAGTTTTCATGAAGAAAGGATTTTAGAATTTGGTTCTTAATCTGTTCAAAGACAGCTCAGACCCACGTAATTCTTAGGTTTCCTTTTGCTAGGAAGTCACTACTGCACAGCTCAATTAATTTTAGGCCTGCCAGTGAAGCAGAGGAGTTTTCACAAAGACACACCTGGTCAACTACTGATGTCAGTGCAGCATCAATTGTGGTCTGACCTGCCTTTACAGCCATCACATAATGATAGGACCCATTCAGAGAGGACTGCAGCACCTCAAAGTGTTCTCCGGACAGCTCTGTAGTAATTCGGATATTCTAAAACCAAAACATGAAACAGAAATTGCCACAGGTACTGACGTCAGTGGAGGACAGAAAGCCCTAAACATACAACAAGAAGTCAGTAAGCAAACTGTTTAATAACACAGTTCAAAGACACACTGCTGAAACTGATTAGAACTCTCCCTGTGGAAGTTTCAGTCTTTCAGTAAGATTTTACCTTTAGAGACATTAACTACACAGAAAGTTTCTTTTTAAATTTCATGTTAAATGTAATTTAACATGAAAGTACCTATATTTATACCACTAAGTAGTTCATATTTTACAGTATTTTTCTAATTTTTTCCTTCTTCAACACAAAAGAACACATGAATATACTGTCTCAAAGGCAGACTACTAAGCTCTAGCTCAAACTCAGATCTGTATCCCAAAAAGCAATTATGGGGAAATAAAATAATATTCCCCTAGATCAAATACTCTCAAAAGCAGTAATTCAATAAAATTTTTCTTGTTGCAACTGAATTATCTAAATTTCGTTTCCTCTGCAGTTTAAGAACTATGTGTATTTGGTACCTAGTATATAGAATTAAGGAAGAAGCTCTTCCCTGTGAGGGTGGGGAGGCCCTGGCACAGGTGCCCAGAGCAGCTGTGGCTGCCCCTGGATCCCCGGCAGTGTCCAAGACCAGGCTGGGCACTGGGGCTGGGAGCAGCCTGGCACAGTGGAAGGTGTCCCTGCCCATGGCAGGGGTGGCACTGGGTGATTTCAGGTTGCTCCAAGCCCCATCCAACCTGAAAGACATTGCCCAAGTTCCATTTTTTTTTCTACAGCACTTCAGACTCCAATAACTTCACATGAATCACCCAGAGTGCTTTGTTTTTAAAAAGTAACAACAACAAAACAAATGAAAAAATGAAGAGGCAAGAAACAACAAGCTTTGCACTGTCCTGTCTCAATGTAAATAAGAAATCACTCAATTCCAAAGCAAGTCAGGATTTAGGAGACAGTCACAGAAAAGTATCTAAACATTTCAACTTACATCAGATAAATACACCTTATTGCTTGATTTATCATACATGTCAACTGTAATTTCATAAAGTCTGCCCGTTTCCAGGACCCATCTGTCACCTGGATGAACTGTAAATCCTGCAAAACAGGAAATATTGAACAGCACAAAACAACAGCCTCTTTATCTAATGGAGAAAAGCATTTTGCTTCTGGTGCCCACACTCTGCAGATGAACATTCATTATTTTAAACTGCTGACTACAGAGATAAAAGAAAGTACATAAAACCTATTTCACATTGAGCTACTTTTATGAATAAAATTCCTTTTCTGTGAAAGCTAACATTGAACGGAAGCGTGGAGATACAGCATGAAAATCACAGAAACAAGGCCAGAAATTGCATTATTCAATCAGAAGACTGCAGCAGTACCAACCCAAATATGCAGGAGCTACCACACAGACAGTGCTGCTGGGCAGCCAGGACACACCCTGCGTGCGGATACCTGCGGCTCAGTCAAGGAACACATGGTTCAGCACAAGCCAAGAGCAGCATTCTCCTGGCACTCCTCAAGCCTCTTTGGCTATTCTAAAGCTAAGTGTGCACTGCAAATAAACATTCTCCCCACTTCACTGCAGGACAGCGAGCACTTTGGAGAGATCTCACTAGAGAATATAAGGACTGAAATGTAAACATTAAATAAAGCCCCATACATTTCTACAGTGACTGAGGGGAACAGACATGATTTAAGTGATCTTTTGCCAACTTAATTTGGTAAAGCATTCCAAGGCATCAGACAGCTGTGCTGAGACTGAATTCACAGCAGTGCTGCTTTCCACAGCTCCTGATTTCCAGACTCGACACAAATGAGGATAACTTGATCCTTCCGTGTTGCCAAGGGTGGAAAGCTTGTCTCCTGCCACAGAGTGGTGGCTGGAGAAGCGTTCCCAAGAAAGGATACTCTTGTGCACCAGGATGAGGTTGGTTTGGCCCTGCTGCAATGTAGTCACAGTGGATGTTGCCTGGTCCAGCTTGGCAACTGGTGGGGAGGGATGTCCCTTGGGATGGAGGATGTTGTTCTGGAGCTGCAGCTCCTACTGCTCTGATGGCATTGCTGTTTCTGGACGTGAAACAAAACATAGGAAACAATAAAAGCAGGTGTGGCAGTGGCTATCTGCTGCTAATTATTGCTGATTACTTTTTACTGATGCCTAGTGCACATATGAAATCAATACTTCTAGTGGCTTGTAAAAATAGCACTTCTGTCCTGACATCACACACACAAAACGAGTTTCTTGGCAAATTGTATGTCTGTGAAACTGCAATTCCCAACTAATGTCATCTCAGTATTTCGACCTAACATTCAAGTGATTTCCAGCTTCAAACGAAATAAAAAGACAGAAGGGAAAAAAGGAGAGAAAACTCAAGGCACTGCATTTTGAAATGGGCATAAAGCCAGATAACCCACATTTATAAAGGCTTCACTTTGTGGAGCAAATCCATTTGCCAATAAAACATTTTCTGTTAGAAAAGTTACTAATCTAAATTTGATTTAAGCAAGAAAGTCAGTCAATTCCTTAGTGACTGTCAACAACTAAAATCACAGTGTTAGCTCTCATTTTAAGTTACCCTTGTCTCCACATCCTTGACAAATCTGCAAGAGTATATTCTTAAGAGTCACAATTTTTTTGACAGAAAGAACTAAACAGCTCTATCACTGTGTGCCTTAGGAAAACAGTATTAAACATTAACATAGTAGTTTAAACACAATTAAAAATTTCTCAGCTGTTAAAAATTCACACAAAGCATTAAAAAATAAAAATAAATGAGAATAGAACAAACCTGTGATCTTCCATTGCCTCTGTTTCTGAACTCTGTACTGAATTGATGTTCCCACCAGAAGATAAATGTCATATGTTGGATTTAAAAATATGTTTTCCAGAATAAGCAATCTGACTTCTGAAGGCTGTACATTCTGTTGATAGAGGGAAAGAAAAAAAAAATAAACCCCACATTAAAAAGAGCTCATTTGTTTAAAACAGACCATGAAGCAGGAATTTAGAATCTAGAAGTGTAAACCATTATTTGCTGTAATTTTATTTTTATTATTTGGCTCTTTAGTTTCATCTTGACTTTTGTCACAACAAAATGCAAGGGACAGTGAATGGTACAGAGATCTGCTCTGTGCACACAGTGCAAGAATGAAGAAAAAATTCATGTCGATATGAAGATCATTTTGGAGACTATAGAAAAACAGATGCTCATTCACACATTCAGAAATACGTCCTCCCCTCTGACATCCAGAAATCTTACCTTATAGATGCTTTCCTGAAGTCTTGCCTTTAATTTAGAACTCTCTGTTTTTATTCCAGACACCAGAATGGTATCTCCTTGCTTGGCAACTTTTTCCATTTCCAATATATAGGAAGGTGGGATGTAAGTGGATTCTAAGAACTTGAGAATACTGAAAGGTGAATCACAAAGTGAACAGAAAATTGTTAACCAACCTTTGTTTACCCACAGAGAAACACCACCAGCATCTACTCCCAGCCACTTCCATTTTTAAGCCGATTTAAGATACTTGCCTGGGACCAGATATCCCAATTTTACTCATTCTTTGAGGTATCTGCAGCTAACTTCTGTGAAAGGTAAGTTTGTCTGAAGCTTGCTTGTGAGCTATCACAAGACTGCACATGTTGTCTACAATTACCTCTCCAGTTTGTTCAGTAGGTGAGACTGCAAAAACCCTCTATATTGTAAAAGAACTGATGTGCAAGACCCAAAGCTTATGTTTATAAAAGCAATAGCTCAACAAACCCAGAATGCAACTCTGACCTCCCTCAAGAAGCCAGGACGTATTTAACAAATGACTATGAAAATAGTCTGCAAGCAGAAAACCTGTAGTAACTGTTAGAAATTTCAGTGAAAAGTGGCAAAAGAGAGGGAAGGAATTTGCCATGAACGGGCAAATGACAGGAAATTTTGGAAAGAGGAGCATATTTCACATGGTGTCACCTTCTGTATGCACATGATCTGCCTGGCTTCATGTTCACGTTCAGAGAAAAACCAGTGGAGCCATATGGAGAACAGTTATGGATATTAACATATTCCTGACAATTTATGATTTATTTTGCAAAGCTGTACCACTTGTAGAACATTTCTATGGTATCATAGTTATGCTAACAGTAGAGAATATATCAATATTAGTTTGGTTAAAATCACATCAGCAAATAGTTATACTGACAAAAAAAGCTCCATATGTACCAGGACTTGGGATATCCAGTCCCACTAAGCCATTCATTCTGGCTCTCACTTGTACCTGCAGCTTCAGGTGTATTATGGGCTTAGCAGGCTTTCCCCAGCCAATGCTGCTTCTCTAAGGCTGCAAAATTAGTTTGTGTTTGCCCAGGAGCAAAGTCTTGCTGGCTCCCCCCATCCCACCTGCAGCGTATTTGGAGTGTCAGGTGGAGGATGGAAGTCGGCTGTTAACCATTCTGCTCTGTAGGAGAACTGGTTTCCCCACAAGGAATCCTCCTATTTCAACACCAGAACTAAGTGTCCACTGACACCTGAAACTCTTAAGGCTCAGAGAGCTCCTTTCTGAAATGGAAAGTGACTTTTTTCCCTTCAAAAGCGAAAAATAAAACTCTGCTGAAATCCTGAGATAACAATCTTACTGGTAAATCTTCCTTCTGCATGAGATGTTTCAGAAAGATAACAACTGCATCTGTTTATTTCTAATTATGGCATCGGAGCTACCAGAGCTGCTCACTAACACTATCAGTTAAATTAAACAGAGAACAAAGTGCCCAGGCTGCTGAGTAGGTTAAAAAAACCCAAACTGAAACAACTGACCCTTAACATTATCATTTTAGGCACCAGTTCAGTAAACTGGCTAGATGTGGGGAAGTATTTTTTACGCATCAGACTGAACCAACTTTTGAGACCAAAGGAAATTACTTTACCGTAGAGTGTTGTGGGAATCTGAGAAGCCATCAGGCTCTGGGTCCTTCACCAATGTCCAATCAAACACCAACCCTGCCAAAGTGCTGAAAGTGTTTCCTACAAATCAAACAACCAGATTAAAATATAAACAGAGAACGAGCATAGAGTCTTCCTGGAACATAAACCATGACCTATTTCCCTGGGAAATTTCTCTATTTTATCCCTACAAGAAGAACCATGAAGTACCCTTGAATCTGCACAACACCAAGCCACAAATCCAGCACTGCACATAGGACAAAAACAAATTTACTTTTCATTATTAACATATCACCATATTACCATACTTCACCTGACATTCACAGTTTACAAACACAGGTGGGATGGGCACAGTAACCAAAACAGTTAATTCCACCTTTTATAGCCGCTTGACACATTATTTCCCTTCAGTAGCTGTTCTAAAACTCCCTTGCTTGGAGTGTTGTGTGTGCACAAAACTTGATTGTTGTAAGCATGGAATTCATATCAGATCATGGCTCTTTTTCTGATGCTACAAAAAGCAGAAGTTTTCTGCTCCTATTAAATAACAAATGCATTCACAAATGCACTGACTCTTGTAAGCCTAAATGGTGTGTCCCAGAAGTGTTTGTGTAGTAGTTAAACAGATTGAGCAATAGGTGGTTGGTCTCAAACATCACCTCGGAACCTCCTGTCAGATACCTGACTGTTCACAAAAACATCCTTTTGCAAAATTCTTTAGACTACTTCAGCTCAAAAGAAAAAAAGGAACAGACAACTTCACCAGGTATGATCCAGAGAAACTCCTTAAAATTCTCCACTTGGCTTCAAACAATCAACAGTGTGACAAATAAAGCTAGTGCATGTATCAGACAGTTAGAACTTTCAATATCTATTTAATTTCCTACAAGCAGATCTCTTACCTTCTGAATCCAAAGCATGAATTTTGAGCTCCAGCGGTGAATCCTCAAGGTAGAGCTCTCTCATTGTGGACACAACTTGAATGCCATGAATTAAATCAACGATGGCATCACAGCGAAGCACTTGTCCAGTCACTTGAAGAGACATCAGAAAGAGCACAAGAAAGCACAACACTGGATGTGCTCATCAAGAACAATGATAAGTTAAGATGCACCTCAAATTTAGCCAGTGACACAAGGCACTGACACTGAAGGAACCGAAACTTGGTCATGACCTTCATGAAGAAACTCATGGTCAAACAGTGACTCAGAAAGCAAGAAAAACAGTTCCCTTCCTCACTGAACTGCAGAATAAATCTGCAGAAACTCTGATCTCCATTTACACTGACAGGTACAGGTGCTGTCTGGGAGTGCTTATGCAGAGTTGCTACAGTGCTCTCATGTCCCAGAGATGACTTTCACCCACAGACAATAAACGCCCATAAACTCCTTCAGTTAGTGACTGCACGGCATTTAATTGGCCATCCGGCTTTGCCTCTCTCTCACTATAAAAACTAACCAGGTATATTGTATGACAGACACAAAAGCAACTTCCAGCTTTTCAAATACTAAGTATCTGAATTTGCGCTAGTCATTTTTATTAAACACTTTTTTATATTTCAATCACCCCCTCTATTGGTGGATTTTTGGGGGTGGGGGTTTTAAGAATTACATTTTTTCCTGGGTGTATCATTAAAGTAATTAACACTTATCTGAGGCAAACAGAAGTTAAAACTTTTTACTTTTCCACGGCGATGGAAAGCCTAAAAGACTGTGCATAGGAAGTGAAATGCGCCTGTGCAGCTCCAGATCTCAGCTTTGCTGGCGGAGCACGGCAGGACGGGCACGAGAAGCAGCGGTTAGCTCAGACTCACGCGTGTCCTCGGCGGAGATGATGGTGGTGAGGCGCGTGGGCTGCGAGGAGCGCGCCTGGACCAGCGCTCTCTGCGAGCAGAGGCAGCCGGCCGGCCCCAGCGGTTCGATGCTCGCCGCCTCCGGCCGCGTGGACGACCTGCGGGTGGGGAGCTGTCAGCACACGGATCCCAGCAATTCACCCGGCACCTGCTGCGTGCCCAGCCGCTGCCTTTGGGAAGAGCGGATGGCAGCAGCTCCTCAAGGACCCCAGCCAAGGCAAGCGTGGGCCGAGGATGGGGAAAGCCCAGGCCAGAGGCAGGGCAGGCAAGCTCACCATTCTCTCCACCATGGAATCAATCAACTTTCCCCGAAACCCATGGAGCAGGCCCAGGGTATTACTTAGTGGAGCCCAGCGTTCCCTTCCAGTGTACCAAAACCGTCAAGATAAAACAACAACAAAAGTTGAAGAGTTATTAAAAACCAAGCCTCTTCAAAGTAAATCTGAGCTAGCAGCACTGCACATCTGAGGGGTAAGTGCAGAGCCAGTGAAGTGCTGCAGCAGCCAAAGCCCTTGCTAGTCACTCCGGCCCTTCAGCCCCGTGCCCGGGCTGTGCCGGGGCCGTCCCAGCCCAGAGCCAGGGAGGGAGAGAGGCAGCGCCGGGAGCTGCTCGGGAACCCAGCCCGGAACAGCCCCCGCTGTGTGCCCGGGATCCGCTCACAAGGGCCCTTTGAAGGATTAAAACAATGAAAGCAAGCACTGATGGGTGACAAAGCTGCTCGGGAATCGCTCCTCCGGATAGCACAGCTCTGATGAAAACTTCTAGAGCAGACAGCTGCGCTCTCTGGTAAATGCAACCTAAACCGGGCACTGGATTCCCCCCTGTAATTTGGGGAAGCTGGATGGCTTGGACTTTTTCTCTGGAAGATGTACAAAAATGCCTACCTGGGATGTGTGGGGAAAATTCTCTAACCCAGCAAGGAGCAGGATGGGAGTTCCAAACAAACAGCAATGTCACGTATGACTGAGTTCCCAGACACAGGTTTCACCTCCTTCTCTTAATGGCACAACCAACAAATCCACACCAGCAAAAAACTGAATTTCTCCTTAACTAAAATCGTATCTATTGAAAAACAACACATCACAGCGCACTGAATTATCTGAGAGTTAACAGCTGCAGCCCGGGTGAGCACGGGCCTCTGCTCGTAGCCACTGCAAGAAAACTGCAAATCCCATTTCGAACCTTAAGCTCCCAACAGTATTTTGCTTCCATAAGGAGTAGTTTTAGAGGATTTTGAAACTACAATATCAACTGCTGACCCAGAATTTCAAAGTACTTTATCTAATCAAGGAAAAAACAGCCCACAGCAGTAGGCAATGGGCAATTGAAACACTAATTGAAAGCTTAAACCTGAAAATTGTTTGTTTATATCTAGTCTATATACCTAAACAATGTACACAAATATGTGCATATCTTTAATAGGGATTACACTGTTTCTAAAATAATATTATTTTCTGTATTAATAGCACACAGCTTTACTCTAAAAAATTAAAATCTATTTGAGAGATTAAAAGTGAGCAATTAGTTATTTTACTTCTGTTCTGCTGTTCCCAGGCAACCATGAAACACTTTTCCAACATTTAGCAAGTTTCTTTAAAAATATAAGCTTTCACAACAAGTAAGGCTTTTCCTGTACTTGCCTGGTTGGCTTTTAAAGCTGAGCATGTGCATGTGACTAGGTCTGCATGCAGGTTTTTTTAAATAAGAATTATATGTAAGAAATTGACTTTTATTTAGCTCTTTACACTGCTTAATACTCTCTGCCATTAGATGTTGTGTTATTAATTTGAGGATTTTGCATTCTTACAGTCTGGTATTGATTGTGGTTACAACACAACAGAGGTTTCACTGTGGTTTGTATTTGTTCTTTTAATATCTGGCTATGAATTGTAATACAAAACCACTGTGATTTGCACTAATAGCAGTGCTGTAAAATGGAATCTAATTACAGGATACTTTTCAGACTAGGAAAGCATCAACAAAAATTAAATTTTAACTGCAAACATACACTCTCCAATTTTAAAGGAACTTTCATGCTTTTACAGCTAAAAGCCAGTCACTGCAGTAGAGAAACTGAGATTAAACACTATTTGGCTTCTAGCAATAGTTTAAGAGGTAGAATATCACCTGAATGTCTTTTTTTTCAATAGAAATTTTACTCCAGTGGGCCTTTCTGAGGCTTGGTTTCATATGGATTTATATTTAAAAACAATCTGCTCGATAAGTATTTTTTCCAGCAGAACACAGGAAGTATCTGATGGCCCCTCTATCATTCAGCAATATCAGAAGCACATTCTGCTTACAGCTACCTGGATGCAGGGCCAAGCACAGAGAGGCAAAGGCATTAATCAGCCAGGCTGGGGATTACAGCAGCACTACACTGGGATCACTACTGGGTCCTAGATGGGCAAGAAAAAGAATCTTCAGCTTTAAGTGACAAAACCCACAATTTGGATCCTCTGCCAACTACAGCAGCTCTTCGGCAGCGTGTCAGTGTGTGTGACATTGAGAGCTGGGCTTGTCAGAAGGCAAAATTAGATCCTGAGAAGCCAGCAATGGGAAGCATTTCTGGCACTTGCTCTGGATCCCAAAGCCAGCGCCTGTAAGAAACAGCAAGGCAGGGAGGAAGGACCCGAAGGAAGACTGAGGAGGGAAGGGGAAAAAAGCTCACCAAAGTCCCCAGTTTGTATTTCCCTCAGAGAAAAATCCTACTTGCTGAGGAATGAATGGCACCAACAAAGAGGCTGCCAGTCCTCTTGTCAGTCTGTGCTTCATTCACCATTTCCATCCCCTCCAGGGCCTCAGACACAGAGCCATGTGCCAAGACTGTAGCCACACATCTAGCCAAACCCAGGCCTGTGTTCTTCATTGACTGTTCTGTAACACCACATGTCAATCAATACCCCACTAGATTATACGTCATTTATTCATCAGTTGGTTCAAAGATCAGGCACTTATTCCTGTTTCTCTCCCTGGCAATTCTCTGTTGATTCTTATTGCTCCAGTGTTTTATACTGTTCTGTCAGCTCTTCAGACTAAACTCAGCTGACTGAGCCAGCAAAAATCCACCTCTGTGGAGCTGCACTACGACTGTCAGTTGATCTGATCTTTTAGAATTTTATTGGGCATTTGGGCTGGTATGCAGTCAGCGGGAACTGAGCAGTAGAAGACTCCAAGAGTTTGGGAAGATTGGACTGACCAATACACTGGGGACATTATATAGCCACTCTTGGGACTAAAAAGAGAGCAAAAGTCTAGAACATTTATTTCATGGGTGTTCAGCAATGAAATATTGCCCAAAATCAACAAGTCCCTAGTCCTTCTGTCTGCCTTAGCAGGCAAGTGATGCTCAGACTGAGAAAAAGCTTTTTTCAACAGTAAACTTGCACTGATATTCAAACATCAGCTAAGAGAAACAACATTATTTCTTCTGCCTCCTGGGCTCTGTCAGAACACTTCTGCCACAGACTCGCACCCCCTGCTCTGGTTCTGAGCCAACACTCTCAGGTAACACACACACCTGAGTCACAGCAGCACAGCCCCTCTCACTTTACCACCCAGCACACCTCAAACCAGTCCTGAGCTCCTGCTGGCACTTCCAAGAGCTTGAAGCCCTGCTGGGAAAGCACAGCCAGGTGAGTCAGGGAGAGGGAGAACAAACATTATTTAAGATGTCACTTCACAATACGGAAGTTAACAATAGCTCACACAAAACATTTTTTGTGACAGTCAGACAGGTTTTTTAGACCTGTGGTAAAAGAGGTGATCCAGGAAGCAACACAACTCCCACATTACCAGGGATGAGACTATTGGTCTTAGAGCAAAGCAACAGATCTCAATGAACAACACTACTGATACAGATTTTTAAAAGCACACAAGCCAGCAGACGGAGAAGTAAGATCAATCTATAACAACAACACGACAAGGTAAGGAGCTGGAAAATGAGCTTGGCCAGCCAACTACTGTGACAGCAGCACTGTGCAGTGGGCTTGGGCTCTCTGGAAGTACCTGTGCATCCCACAGCTCCAACACCACTCAGCCACTGCATCTCCCCCTTTACTGTTGTGCCACCAGCTCCTCTCCCATGGCAATTACCTCATTACAACTCCTTCAGTGAGGGCTTCAGTAGCACACACAAACCTTTCATTAAGGTGGCAATAAACTCCTCTTCATTTCCACCAGCCCTCACCATGTATCTCAGTTCTACGCTCCATGAAACAATGAAATATGTAAACATATTTGTACACTGCAGATAATTTCTGCTACAAATACCCAGCCATGGAGCCTACCTTGGGGGGAATATTTTTTTTTGTGTGTGTGTGTTCCCATCCTTCCCCAAAAAATGTTATTATGGTATGGCAGGTTTCAAGGAGAAAATTCTGCTTTTGAATGCTTTCATTCTTTCAGGTGCAATTTATGGATTAAGGTGGTTAAAAGACAAATACAGATGCAATAGAAATGCTAAATATATCTGCACAGACTGTATTTTATGCCTGAAAATAGTGCCACGTACAATATTAACAGATGGAAACACCGTCTGCTTTGAAAACAAAGCTTTTTCCAAAAAATAATTTTAATATAAAGGCAACCCAAACTCCAGAAGGCATGAGCATTTTGAAATCCAGAAAATACTTTAGAGCCATGCTTGTAACTTTACCATTACTCCCAGTCTGTTGGGATGATGACAGAACTTGACCTTTTTCCTCTCAATCAGTGCAATTCTCAGACACCACTACAATCACTTTGAAAATATCCTACTTTCAGACGTAAACTTGAAGGCTGAAAGGGAAACTGGGAAAAAGTAAAGTCACAACATGCTATAGACTGATCTTTCAGGAAATTGGACACTTGCCTTTGAATTCTGAATGCTTGAGATGAGTAATGCAGACCTTCAAAAGGTGTCAAGCAGCTATCAGATGCTGCTGTACAACCAGAACAGCTCCCATAGGCCACAATCTCCCATATCCCAAACCCCCAGTCCCCTCTCCAGACACAGAGGGCCTGAATCTGACCATTTCCATTCAAACCCCTGCTTTCATGCATGCAAACACACCTATCATTTCCCAAATGTGAGGAAGAGTCACTCCATCCCAAGCCAGTGCATTTGGTACTCCCTAACTTGGTCAGTTCGACAGCCCCTCTCCAGTAACAGCTCCTTCAGACAGGAAGCACAGGTGTCAGCAAGTGGCTGTGCTGCTGCTCCTCCAGACACAATTCCTTCTGTCCCCCCACAGCTCCAGGCCTGCGGGGACAAGGATGCAGAGGGAGAGAGCCCCAGGTGCAACTGCTGCATCTGCTCAGGCACACACACGGCTCCTTCCTCCGGAGGGTTTGCCGAGCACACGTCGAGTTTCACAACCCACATCCTGCCAGGCCTTGCAAAGCAGAAGTCAATAAATGCTCATTCTACAAGCCACAGAAGATGACAGCACACAGAAGATGAATTAGGTGTAATTTCCTGAATTCTCAGCCAAAAGTCATCTCTGAAGGGCAGAGGGAGAGGATGGAAAAGGATGTTGAGGCCCCTTTGCATGAGGGATATGAGCCATTGTATACTGGCAAACAGCACCAATGGAACATGCTCTGAAGTATACAAAAATCACTTCCATTAGAGATATGTAGATAAAATATGGCATGTCTCTGGAGAACAATCTTACATCTTTTCATTTGAAGACTTTAGTGAGATTAGCAGAGATCTCCATGCTTCTGACAGCAGGATAGCACCTGGCATGTGCAGGAATGGCTGCAGCCAGCCCAGCATCATCTCACAGCTCACTGGCAAACAGGAAAGGGAGTCTATACTCCCCGATTTTACTAGTGCTTTGATGAGTTTTGGGGTTTAGCTTTATGCAATGTACTTTACCTCATAAACCAAACCCTTTTAAAGACTCAGCAGCCTTCAAAAATTTGAGTAAGGAAAGAGAAAAAACCCACACTTATGAGATTTTCACTAAAGCAGTCCATTAAAAATTAAATTACATGACCACAAGCATCTCATCTAGTAACTTTCATTTAGTTGACTTCTGGGTAAAATTACTGCTCTTCTTCACAAGCATCCTCAAATATAAAAATTGTAACAGACCAAAGCGTTGTTCCCAGCCCAGAGATTGAGAAATGTACAACAACCAAGCAAAGAAACAAAGAGAATGAAAACATAGCCCTTTAAGATGTGTTTCAGTAACTGCCACACACAAAAAACCTGAAAACTGCTACACACATCCATCTGGCACATTGGGAAGTATCATCCTAAACATACCTCAACTGCTGCTTCTTTTTCAGGTGGGTACCTCCTGCTCATTACTGATTAAGTTACCACTCTAGAGCTCGACAGAAAGGACAAGGAGTTGGCAACATTTGTTTACAAGGACAAGGAGTTGGCAACATTTGTTTACCATGAAGACTACCATGAGCTTTCTAAATTTGCCCATGCTGTGGGATTTGCCTTCAGCCTCTGTGCTCAACACTACCCAGTCCTCCCCCCTGTGCCAGGCAGGAAGGGGGCTCCCAGCCAGAAGTTCCTGGAGTACATCCCACGTGCTCAACACTGAGAAAACTGGGAAAGCTTTCACTTTTGAAACTCCACTTCACTGTTCCCAGGTGGAGTCTTAAGGGCGCTGTTACCTACACTTGCAGCAGCAGTGAGAAGCTCCCGACTTAGCTATGACTCCTTTATGTCCACAGCCTGAGCTCAGAGCTGTCAGGACCTTCATTACTGAGCACAGCAAGAGAAGGGGTATTTCATTACTGAGCACAGCAAGAGAAGGGGTATTTCCACAGCAGCAGCACTTTGGGCGCTGTCCCCGCACACTTGGGACTGTGGCCATGTGTGTGGTGGCACTGCGGGAGTGCGGGGCGGCAGGGTGAGCAGTGCGGGTGTGGAGGCACAGTGGGCACGGTACCTGGAGCAGCAGGTGGAGTGTGTGTGTGGGGTACAGAGAGAAGCAGATGAATACGTGTGGGGTGTGTGGGTGGGTGCACAGCGGTGAGAGGCACATGTCAGGCACGGAGCCATGGCGGGAAGCTTCCTTTACAAGCAGGGACCTCCTGCCCAGGGCCCGGCCTGCAGACACTGCCCCCCTCCAGCGGGTTGAACCCCCACTACAGACAACAAACAACCTTTCCCCTTCGGGATGCTCTCCGTGCCTGCTCCCGCACTGCTGGGCCGCCCAAACCTGCCAGCAGCGAGGTGAGAGCGGTGGGAGAGGGCCCGGCTGCCTGGGAGCCGTCAGGCCCCGCCGCGGGCCGGGGAGCCGCCGCAGGAGCCGGCGGGGGAGAACGGACAAAGGGCGGCGGCACCTGCACTCACCAACAGCAGCAACCCTCGCTGGCCTCTAGCGTGAAGTTGACGCGGGTGCCGCGGGTGAAAGGGAGCGGCACCTTGGCGGTGTTGAGCCTGGAGAAGGCGGCGAGGTGCAGGAGGAGGAGAGGCAGCGCCCCGGGCGCGGGAGGAGCTATACTGACGCTGGCGGGGCCGTGCGGGGCGCGAAAGAGCGGCAGGGCCGGACACGGCAGGGCAGGGCTGGGCTGGGCACGGCCTCGCCCGCCCTCCGCCCCCCGGGGCCGCACCGCCCTCCCTCAGGGGAACTCACGCGGTGCCAATGGCCAGGCGCCGGCTGTTTGAAAAACGTCCTTTTCTCCGGGCCTAACCCCCAGTGTCTCGTGGAGTCGTGCTCTAGACCCTTCCCCTTCCCCGGCCAGGCTCCAGCACCTCAATGTCTGTTCTGTCGTGGGTAGCAAAGCTGAACACAGGGTTCGAAGCGTGGCTTCAGCTGAGCCCAGCACGGAGGGACGGTCACTGCCCTGGTCCTGCTGCCACAGCAGTGCTGGAACAAGCCAGGTGCCATTGGCCTTCCTGGCCCCCTTCATGTTCCCCGGACACACTGGTGCTAACAGCTATGCTGAGAAACTGTTCATTCATTACCACAGCATCTCAGAATGGTTTCGGTCAGAAGGGGCCTTAAATCACCGACTCCCACCCCCGCCCTGGGCACCTTTCACAGTCCCAGGCTGCTCCAAGCCCTGTCCAACCTGGCCTTGGGCACTGCCAGGGATCCAGGGGCAGCCACAGCTGCTCTGGGCACCTGTGCCAGGGCCTCTCCACCCTCACAGGGAGGAATTTATTCTTAACATCTAATCTCAAACCCCTCTCTTTCAGTTTGAAGCCACCCTCCCTCTTCTTGTAACCCCGGGCCCTTGCAAATAGCCTCTCCCCATCTTTTTTGTCAACTCCTTAAGGTACTGGAAGGCCACAATTAAGTCACCCCAAAGCTTCTCCAGGCTGAACAAACCCAATTGTCCCAGCCTTTCCTTGTATGAGTGATGCTCCATGTGTGAAGGATCTGATTGTCCTTACCTATGAAAGAAGCATGGTACACATAGGCATCAGGAGAATGGATTTCAGAAAGGTCACATGCATGTTGGAGATCCTTAAAAGATCCTTAAATCCTACTCAGAAGATCAGCTTGCTGTCCAGGCACATGAGCTAAAAGTTTACCCAGCTTTAATTTAGGTGGTATTACCAAAGTTAGCCAGTTCTCATTTATTCTAAGCAAGTAAACTTCTACAGGACGTTCTCTTTACATAGGAGCACTATTTGCACTATTTATTCAGCTCGTGTTTTACTTATCAGTACCTCAGCAATGCTGTTCCACTTTCTATCTCAGAGGAATGTGTGCTGCTGGACAGTTCAGTTCTCCCTGCAGCTTCTGTGCGTGTATTACTCATTTTCTGATTAACGATCACGAAATTGTATGGTCTGATTTAGAGAAGAGCTGAACTATGCAATTTAAGTTAATAGGAGCTGGGCCTAGAAAGATGTGTGATATTAAAGGTGTTGGCAAATCAAGCTCTTGCACTTTAAATTGCTCCCCAAAATACTGAGGGTTGTTTATCTTCTTTACTATTTCTCTCAGTGAAGTTGGAAGCTTTCTTTGTAGACATGTTGGGAAGATAAGTTCAGTAAAGGCTGGGATATTAGAGAGGAATGTATAAAATTGCCAATGACTAAAGGGTACAATATGTTTACAGTTAGTACAATTACAACTGAGTAAATAAGAGGTAGATAATGAGTATTTTGCATCCTGTGTTGTGAATGAGGTGAGGAAATGTCTGTATCCTGATACTTCCTAGCTTTAAAAGCAGAGTGTGCAATCTCACAATTTATTTCCTTTCTCTCATCAGCAGCGGTGGTGATGAGTATTCAATGTGAGAAGAATAATTTTCCAGTAGCAAATACTTCTTAGACTTGAATTCTTTTCATAAGGATCAGCAAGGTGCAGCTGGGACCTTAAAGCCTATTGATGAAACATGACAGTGAAGTATTGCAAGTAAACATCCAACACACCTTTCAGTGCATACCTAGCGGTTTTAAGAACAGAGTAAGGCAGGGGACATTGATGAGCAAATCTACAGTTTCCATTATATGGTAAAATTACCAAGTGAATTGTGTGCTCCCTTGAATTGTAAGTCATGCATTGCAGCACTGTGTTAGCATTTCTTTTGGCCAGAGGAGGCTGAGCTGGGGGGCAGCCAGTGCAGTCAGGGTGTGCTCTGAGGAGTCTCCGCCTCAGGGGTAGGAAGGACTCACTAAAACATCAGGGGCTGACTTAGCAGCGTTGCTGCACTGCTCCACTTTTCCTTTCTGCGCTGCTGTGAGATCCATAGGAGTCAGCACAGCCCTCCTGCCAGGACAGACAGTGCAAACACCTCCTCTCAGGGTTTCCCGGTGTGCTGGAGAATGGGAGCAGGATACACCTGCCAGGAATGGGAGGTAATTTTACAGACATATCAATGTACACCTGAGTATGTCGGATAAAGAACACAAATGGAAATGCCTTGGTCACAAAGAATGTGATTACAGAGCGATAAGAGGGAGTGCTTTATTAAGCTGCTTAAGGAGGGAGATAGGCAAACAATAAATGGTTGTTCCCTAAGAAGCTGAGCCTTTTGTGGAAGAATTTCAGGAGATTTTAGAGGCAATCAAAATACATGCAATAAATAACAAAACACCAGGTGCTGATCATGTTTCTATTGGAATATGAAACTAAAAGGGAGAGAATTACTGAAAGATTTTACAAACTCACTTGGTTGGTCAGAAGATCTGAAAACACTGCCAAGGAACCAGACAGACATGTACTCTGATCAAATCTTTTAAATTTATCAATTTCTGAGGGAAATATGTTTTTCATAAAGCTAGAAAAATGTGTGTCAATATATGATTAGGTGATCTGTTGACAGTGAAATACTTTTAAATCCTTGTTCAAGAAAAGGAAGTATTTGAATGGCACGCTGATAAAGGACCATCTGGACAAGAAACACCTGGCTTAATTTTCAGGCATTTCATATTTTTAAATGTCTGAGTAATTTAAAATATTTTAAACTTATCTTTGGAGCGAAAGAACACACCCCCCAAGAGCGCCCAAACCCAAACAACAAAACCAACTCTAAATAAATGCAACTTAGAAGGTGAAACTTCAGCAAAATGGTAAGGCAATGAGGTGTGGAGGGTTATTTTAAAGTGTGCTGGGTGAGGATGACTCAAACCAGCTCCAATCTTAACCCCTGCAGGTATGTCTGTACTTGTGAGTTAACAGTGTAGGACCAGCTCTGTGAAGTTTCAGCAGCTGAATGCATTAGGTACAATTTACTTGTAAGAGCAGTTTCATTAAGCTGAAATAATCAGGGCTCACCCAGCAGAATGATGAAAAACATTCTCCATTATCACACTCTTGAACCTCTCAAATAAAATAATATTTGATTGAAAGGCTGAAGAATGCCTGACAAGCACTAGTAATACATTTAATGAAACGCCTTTTCCTGTAGGGATGCAGCTCTGGTTGGGAAGAGAATGGGGAGTTGCCTGCACCATGCTGAGGAGGAGATGAAAAGGGCAAGTCACTAGAGTTGACAAAGAAGGTGGTCTGGGAATAGTAACTTTAGAGCAGAGTAACAGTGATGGGTCTCTTTTTTTGACTGATGCTGTCTGTGTTTACGCTGCAGAGCAGAACAGTATCCTGCAAAAATCACTGGGAAAGATGGTCAGCTTCCTTCCTGCCTGGCAGGCTGCTGCTCCCCTTGTCTGTCTCACCCATCACTGAGATCATAGCACATATATTTCCTGACTGACCAGCTCAATGGCTTTCATTGCTGGGCTTTTTTCTGCTTAATTTGCTTGCTGGTTCCACCCTCATAGCTGCAGAGCCTTGAAAAGTATCTCCAGCAAAGGAACTTCAGTCAAAGAAGTATGTAAAGCATCCAATATATTAAAAGGTACCTAAAAACCAACAACAGAGGAACAGCACTTCAGCTGGTGTCCCTTAGCGCCAGCAAAAGACTCAGAGAATCCCAGGATGGATGAGGCATTACACTGCATTACCTCACACGGGTATTTGAGACTTACAGAGTACAGAAAGAGTCCTTTTCCAGTTATTTCTGGATCACTTTCTCCACCAGTAATCACATTCAATTTACTGTATTAGACTTTTGTATCTTCATACACCTATGGAAGGTTTTATGAGAACATCCTTTCAGCCTTACTACTGCTTTCTACAGGGGTAATGATGGACTGACAGCAATATAAAACTGACTATTTTGGTTATCCTGGCAGGATTTTCCTTCCTTCCAAGGCATTAGGCCAAAGGAAGGCATAAATTCAGAAAATGTCCAAAATTAAGGCAGGCAGTTACTGGTGTCGAGGAAGGCATGTTTAAAATTGATGGAGGTTCAGTTCATTCAGGTTATTGAGACAAGAGTCCTTGTGTTTAGAAAATGGGTAAAATAAGAGCCAAGCCTGCCTTTCTTTGCACAGCCTCATCTGCCAGGGATGCTGCTGGGAGTTTTCCAATGTGTACCAGGTACAACTCAGTCCCCACAGAGAAATGCAGCTCTTTAGATCCCTGTTCCTATGGGATAAATCCATTCGAGATGCAAGACTTTCCCAGATCCTGTAAAATCCCAAGACCTCACTAATTTATGCAGGATGAGTCTGATAACATTGAGATTATGAAATAGTTGCACCAGATACAAATAACGGATTTTCACTTCAGAGTTTATCTATCTTTCTAATGTAAATTTATGGTTATTAAAGAAGGTTATTTGTAGGTGTCTTTTCAAGCTGTTACATGACAGTGCTTCTGCCTTGTGCCTTTGTACACAGATAGAAATCACATTAATGAGCTATTCACCCAACAACTCAATGAATGCAGGAGTGAGGAGAATTCACAAGATAAGACAAGTAACAAACAAAAATCCCAACCTTTGTTTCTGCTTTAAATACACCTAGGAAATTTAGCAGAACACAGAAATCTTACATCTTGAAAATAATGAATACTATTTATGAGCAGGCATGTGAATATGTTTAATACAGTTAATAGTACTAACAAAAGTGAATTTGGTCTTTTCAAGGTTACTTGATTGCAAATTATGCTATGTACAACTCACAAATCTTAAGTAGGCATTCCAGTACAATAATTCTGAGTCTGTTTTAAACATGAACACTCTTCTGAATTGGTATGTAAAGCCAGGGAATCTCAGAAAAACGGAAAGCTGGACAAGACAAACGCAGGTTCAAACCAATGTGGTTCATCAAGCGTTCTCCGTTTATTCAAGATAAGGTGGTAGTTTATATAAGCTTCCACATAGTTTACAAAAACAAAAACACTCTGATTGGTAGGCTAACATTGTTTACCTTTTCCTTAAAACGGCCTACACCTTACACCATAAAACCTATACTAATTCACACCCAAGCAACCCAGTGGTCCCCACTCACACCTTAAGACATTTTCTATCTGCGCCACAAGCTCTGAATTTCTAACTGCGTCAGAGGCTTGAAGGCCTCAAGGCCCAAATCTGAGGCCTAGACTGGAGTAGCTCAAATTTCATAATTCATGTCCTCTTTCTCTCAAAAATGCTGCAACAATTCCCTCTTTTTCTTTTTGAGCTACTCAGGCTGGAGTGAAGGCGCAATGAACTAATTTTTGCACACACTGTAAAAAACACGGTATAACAATTAAAATAACTATAAAGATAAAAAAAAAGTACAATACCAAAACGAATTAAATCTTTGACTCAGCCAAAAAACCTAAAGAATTGAGCCAATTATCAAATGGAGTGTCCACTATGGTAAGTTTTTTCATGTGTTCTTTCAATTGCGTTAACTGTTTATAAATCGATTGAGAATGGTCAGACAAATTCATGCAGCACATGCCCTCAAATTCTTCGCACCCATGTCCTTGTGCTAAAAGAAGGAAATCAATTGCAGCTCTGTTTTGTAGAACCGCATGACGGGTATCGTCTACATCTGCAGCAAGCTCACTTATCAATTTAGATGTGATATTAATTTGTTTTCCTGTCTAGCAGGCTAGAGTTCTCAATTGTGTGAGCGCTTTTGATGAGGCGACCCCTGGGGCAAAGAATGAGGCTACTACTACAGAGGCACGCCCCCACAATGACACTATATCTTTACAATTAGGGTCCATTTGGAGAACACTGCGTTTGGCTCGTTGAGTCTTCTGAGGCAATTCGAGAACCTGATGTATGGTGGGAGAAAAAAGCATCAACCTACCGATATAACATGGGCCTCCCCTAGCATTTTGAGGGACTGCTGACCAGGCTCGGTCCCCACAAATGAGGAAGGTTCCTGGGGGCAGTTTTCCTGCACCACCTCTTGGCGGTGTCACAGATTGAGTCGAATTGTTACAATATTCTGAATAGTTGTAATACAATGGTGATCTGGGAGACAACCAAGTGTCGTCATCTGTCAATTTTCCATTTTCTTGAGTTGGTTTGGTAGCATAAGATCCAAATATCAAACAGTAATTTCCTGGGACAAAACCCAAAAGACCAAATTCTTGAAAACTGTCATCAGTAAATTTAAGGTTTTGCACAAATGCAACAGCTTGCGCTCCCAGAGTGCTATTTAAATTTATTTGAGCTCGGGTCCAAGTTTTGAACTCTGCCATGGGACCCAACGAGACTCCAATTTAACAAGTATAAAAAGGGGGTTAAACGGTGTGGCTAACAACAGGCAGAATTAATCTTGCCTGGTTTGTTTGGCCCAAGTGATCCACATATTTTCTCTCTTGTCAATGTCAAGGATTCCAGATACTTCAACAACCAAAACACTGCTTAATAAAAACATTGAGGCCCACCACATTCTTCTCAGGTTTTTGAATGCCCTGTCTAACATAAAGGAAACAATCTTAATTCTAAACATAAACTATAACTTCTAATAAACTAACTTCTGATAAATCTAACTTCACACTTCTGATATTTCAACTTATTTCTCTGTACTTTACAAAATTAATTTTCATCAGAACTGGATTCATCAGGGATGTTCCAGGCAAACTGTTGTTGTTCACGTTGTTATCACTGCGGGTTGATATCTTTTTCATCTGTTTTTAAAATTCTGTTTCTGCCTTTTCGTATCAATGCAGCAAGAGCATCTGTCCTGTCCATCACACGACTTCTTGGTTGGATGGGTAAAAACACTCACTCAAGTAGAATTGCTGTTGATCCACGTTGGGACCTCCCTCTTTTTCTTTTGCCATTGAAAGACAATGGCAAGATGAACAGAAAAATCACAGGCATTACTAAAACTTATTAAAACTTAGCAAAAAATTCTATAACATCATTAAAAACACACTTATAAAAAAACCTCAAAGCCCACGATCTTCTGTGGGTGAAACACAAATCTTTGCACAATCCACTTTTGCTGTGCATCCTCTGATCCACTTGTGGAGAGATCAGTGCCCTCTTGCAATTGATAAGTTCCACATTCTTCACTGAAATCCATCTAGATTCTGCACCTGTTAAAACACAAACAAACCCAACACCCCCACAGGGACTGGAGGGTCCTCTCTCAATTCTGTTCCCTAAAACTTGCATGAAGAAATGGAAATATCAACATCTTTGTTATAAACATGAAAAAACATTAAGAACAAAACAATGCACATAGTAAAGAAACTAACAACAAATAAAAATCAATCAGATAATACACAATCAATATTACATATAAAATCACAGTTACCAAGTGCTACACTATCAAATTGTCATCCCAGAGTCTGCAGCAGCTGAAAAACCTTAAAACAACAGAGATTTGGATAAAACATGTCCGGATCATGTCTCTCCAAAACTCCCTTTGAGGCTCAGCTGTCCTGTATGGTCAAATTGTCAAGCCAAAAGGACTTGAATACTTTTTGATGCAGAAAACATCTGGATCAATCACACCATCCACGTAGAGCCAGAGCTTGGCCAGAGCTCGAACTCTAATTGGAGGATATGTTTAAAACAAAAGTCTTAGAAATAACAGTTATAAGTAAAAAACCTTATTATTAAAAATTTATCAAAACATCAAATAATTGAACCTGTCCAAAATTTCCTTCAAGACAAAAATTCTCTAAATACAACAAACCTTTTCTTCAAAAATCTGAAAATTTGAAGTCTGAAATCTTGAACCAAAATTTGGACAAAGAATTTTTAAAAGAAGATGAATTGCAGCTGCATAGAAGATTGGACAAAAAAAAATCACATGAGTAATTTAAGAGTCAAAAACACAGGATCCTGAAAGAACACATCTTGCAATCAATCACCTAGAAAGACAATAAAACATATGAAAACTGACTGTAAATATTAAAACAACACCTCAATATCTTAACATCTTAATAATAATTCTTATCACCAAAATCAGACAACTTACATTATATGATCAGCTTATCAACAAGAAATGTTTAAAATAGTTTAAAACAATCTTTTCAAAGCATTCATATAACATTAGTAACAATCATTACTTATCTTATCATTACCTACAAAAACTTGACAATTATCATTTATCTTATTATCTATAAAACTCAAAAATCATCATCACTTATATTATTATCTATAAAAACTCAAAAACAGAAATTGTGAACTCAATGCCAACATTCCATCTGACTGACTTTTCTCAAATCTTTGTTTTCAAAGACATTTTTGGCAATTAAATCATTATTAACATTTCTATCTTTTTTTTTACAGTAATTTTCATCCACATTGTATTTGAAATAACTTTGATTTGCATAATGTCCATCCTTCTTGGTATCTTGGAAAACACTCAGTATTGCTATACTTTTTCATTACGTCTTCTGTCTCCTTGTATTGTTGCTTGATAAAGCAGCTGCAATGATGTGTCCTTGTTGTTGAATTGCATCCTGGATGGTTGCGGTGAATGCCGCAGCTTGGTTGCTCTGTTCTGCGCGTGTGGCTCTGACAAGCATCTCATCGACTGGACAGCTTTGAGGAAGGGTGGCTAAGATGGTTCTTGTGTGTGGGTTAGCATTTTCAAAAGCAAGAGATCGGAATAAATGTTCCTGAATGTCTGGTGGCACGTCAGGTGCGTCCTGCAAAGCAGCTGACAGCCTATCAATAAATTGTCCAAATGGTTCAATGGCTCCTTGCTTTATGGTGGCATAGGATGCTGACTTTTTCTTGTCTGGTACCAAAAGCAAAGCTTGATGGGCCAATTGCTGTGACAATTGATGCATTTCAACGGGAAAGGTAAGTTGTACCTGATTGGTTGCATATGGTCCCTGCCCAGTCAGCATATCTGGCTGGACTCCATAAAAGGGGTCTCCCACATTTGTGTGTTTGTTGGCCTCTTCAATTGCCAACCGCCTCCATTCCCTTTCAAACATGAGAAACTGGGAAGGTGTCAGGAGCAGGGATGCAATGTTAGATGAATCACCAGGACAAAGCACATCTGCTGTGAATATATACTGAATGATGTTCCTGGCTGCTTCTGATCTGATCCCATAAGTGGTGACTGTCTGCTTAGCTGATTGTAGGATTTTCCAGTCATGGGGCTCCCAGATGGCATTCCCATTAGACACTATGACAGGACAAGCCAGGGAGCTGACAGCCTTCCAGTCACCGTCCAAAAGAGCATTCTTCACAACTGATGCCCATCGGGACTGCAATGGATTTTTTAAAACTGCTGGCAATGCCAATTGCTGGCCAGTGGAAGGTTCCACTGGTTGAGCCTGACGATTTGAGAGGGTGGCAAGGCGGGCTATTTTTTTCTGTAACATATTTGGTCTTTGTATCTTGTTCTGTGATCGCGTGTCCCTGCTGCAATTGACAACAGGAAAGTCTGGCTCTGAGTCGTCAGAATCTGAACTCAGTGGGAGGGGGCAGCGTAGAGCTACCGTGGTGGAGTGGGAACTGGCATTTTCAGGGCTCCGCTCTGGTGTTGTTTGGGTGGCTGCTTCTGCCACTCCCGCTAGCATTGGGGTGCCCAGCCCCTCCAAACCGCGCCAGGTTGCTGGCCGCCGCCGCCGCCGCTGCCGGGTACCGGCGAGCCGCTCCTCTGCGCCTGCACGCACCCGCGGCAGCTGCCGCCGCTGCCGCTGCGGGGGGGCGAGGGGCAAGCGCCGCCTCGCTCCCTTCTCCGCCCTGGTCTCCGTCCCCGAGTTCCTCCTCCTGACTCAGCCCTGTTTCGTCACCAACTCCGCCTGCCTCCTCAGGTGTCTCCCCGCCTCCCGAGGGACCCGGGAGGGCCACTTCCTGGTCTGCCTCACGCCGAGCTGTTAACATCCGCCGCTTGCGAGCACACTTCCGCTCCGGGCGCGGCCACATTTTTGCTTTGTCCCGTGTCGGCCGGCCCTGTGCCGCCTGGCTCTGTGCTTTCCTCCCAACGAGCGACAAAATCTCTGACAGAGGGACTGACTGGAGCTTTCTGCCCTCGCACTGGCCGCATATTACAAACATTAAAGAATTTTTCAACCCGAGATGGCTTTTGAGCTTCTGTCTGTTCTGATGTGGATTGCTCAAATGCCTGAATTGCAGCTTCTGCTGCTTTTTTCTCCACGGCCATGCTCTGCAGGGTATGTAAAACTTTCTTCCAAATGCCTCCATGCTCCAACTGCTCTAAATCGGCTTCTTTAACTTTTTCAGCTCTCTTTGAGAGAATATGAAAGAGAAGCCGCACTGAAGCCTGCAGATCCCCATCCATGGTGAACTTTCACCCTCTCTTTCTGTCCGCGGCTTACCTCCAACCTTTGCGGTTTGCTTCGCTCTCGCTTTTCTTCAGCAAGGCAGCAACCCCGCTCCAGCTTCCCGGCCCCGGCCACGTCCACACCCGCCGTTCGGGTCCTTTGTGAACGCCGAGGTCTTCCCACTGCTCCAACAGACTCTCGCAAACAAACAACAATGCGAAGAGTCTTTTTCCTCCCGTTGGGAAACAGCCCAATTTGGAGTTTGGAGACTTCTGCTCCGTTCCACTTGATCCCCGTTCACAAAAAGTGAATTTGGGATCCCGGTCCCGTCACCATGAGGCGATTTGGACCTGAATTTTCGTCGCGCGACTCAAACCCGACTGCCCGTTACTCTAAAAGTAATTTGGCAGCCTTTTCGGAGCCTCCTGAGTCCTGGTCCGGGCGCCACTTAAAGCCAGGGAATCTCAGAAAAACGGAAAGCTGGACAAGACAAACGCAGGTTCAAACCAATGTGGTTCATCAAGCGTTCTCCGTTTATTCAAGATAAGGTGGTAGTTTATATAAGCTTCCACATAGTTTACAAAAACAAAAACACTCTGATTGGTAGGCTAACATTGTTTACCTTTTCCTTAAAACGGCCTACACCTTACACCATAAAACCTATACTAATTCACACCCAAGCAACCCAGTGGTCCCCACTCACACCTTAAGACATTTTCTATCTGCGCCACAAGCTCTGAATTTCTAACTGCGTCAGAGGCTTGAAGGCCTCAAGGCCCAAATCTGAGGCCTAGACTGGAGTAGCTCAAATTTCATAATTCATGTCCTCTTTCTCTCAAAAATGCTGCAACAGGTATGCTATTTTTTATGCATTAAACACCAACATGGGACAATGTATAAAATCCCATCATCTTTTCTATTTTTCCCATTCTCTTCATGTAGAAGTCTTCTGATCTGATTTATCTCAGCACTGACAGTGATCTATAGGGTTCTGTACCTAAAAAACAAGGATCTCAGACTTCCCCATCTACAGAGACACTAGAAAGTGTGCACTTCAACTCTAAAATTGCATTTCTTAATTTAAAATATTTATTTTCATTCTAATATATACATAAGTACTAAAAATTCAACTCCTCCTGCCCACCTTGAAGAAACCTAAATTCTTTTACATGCACAGTGAGTCCTTCAAAGGAGTCATCACTTCCTTCACTAGAATGTCAGTGGAAAAACAGGAGGTGCTGCAATACACCACAGACTATAACAGATCATATACTGCACTCAGGTGCCCTGATTTCTGTTTTGTCTCCTAAAATCCTTTCAGGGTCACTTTTCCAGGTAAGCTATCTACCAATCAAGTTACTGTGGGGAATGGAATATTCAACATTGAAAAATTGGATTAATTTATGGAGCAAAAAAGTTGTCTTTGATGTGAATTTGCAACTGCAGATTTGTAGCAAATAAAAAGGTTAAATACAATGTCTCTGAGACAAATTCATTGCAGATAGTGAGGCACAGGACAGTAATTTTAAATGTCAGGCATTTTGTAAGTTCTTCTAACCCGAGTAAAGGAATCTGCTTTGATAGAACTTACTGAAAACTTTAGTAAAGCATGGCAGATTTCCCAAAGAACTTCATGGTTTCCCATGGAAAGGCCTATTAGTTTAGTAACACAGGTTTAGTTCAATAAATTTTCAATTAAATGCATTATTACACCTGCACACTTTCTGTGAAGTAGCACACTTTTTGTGCTAAGAAAATTTGGTCCCTCATAGTGTTCATGCATGAAGGAGGTTCACTTCAATAGCATATGAATATTCATTAACATTTTTTGTATTCTTCTACCTCTCCTTTGGGACAAAGTTCAAACAAGATGATGTGTACTTGGAAGACACTAATTAGAGTTTTTAAAGCGTCTGTATAAATTACACACTTTTTAGATGTTGAAGTATCGTAGTTCCAGGAATAACTCTAGACTTTCTGCTGAAATTTATAACACATCTAAGTTTTAATATATCAGTTTTTATAACAGTGGCAGAACACTAAGAAACTGCTGTTTTTTATGTGGTTTGGTGATGTTTGTTCCAAATGTATTTTTTGCTTTCAGAAATATCCACTACAGATACTATACCAAAGTATCAGAGAAATGCGGGACTTTTTCTGATATCCAGAAAAATCTAAATGACTTTGAGAAGGCAGCATGTCCTGCCAGCATGATTAAAGCTACTATATTCATCAGTTTGGTTCATCTTGTTCATCTTTGACTTCAGGCTTGATTAGCTATAAATGCTTACCTTGTCCTCTCTGGATCAAATACCTTAACAAGCTTTGATTTTCCATGGATATTCTAGCCAAGGCACTTTTAGCAGTTTCATTGGGGGAAAATGCTTAAGGTACTGTTTTATAGTTCAGTGATGCCATACACAGCAAAGGGAACAGGAATACAGAGGTAGTTTCCCCCCTCTTTTAAAATTAGATTTGGTTTTTCATCACGTAGCCTGTTTTTTTTTTTTTCAAGACCCATAATTAAATTCAGTGAAAATCGCAGGTACTTGCACTTGCAAAGTTTTGGGATGGGTTTTGGTTTGATTTTTTCTTCAGCTTACAAGTAAATCACAAGCCATCCTGATTTTCTTTGTGTCAATACTGTTGTTCCCATGCAAAGAGTTTTAATTCATTAGGCTGTCAGTTTTCAATTCAGTAGGAGGTTAATATTAGTATGTCCCAAGGATCTGGACTGTAGTTAGCATTTAATACACTCAATCATTATCCAGAAAGGCAGAAACTAAGTGTAGAACAGAAAAATGATGTCAGCAGGATTTTCAGATAACAACATTATTTATCTTCCTAAGAGAAGGCTGTGATAAACTTCATGGGAACAGAACTAGGCAAGTTGGCAACATAATAGTTGGTGAAACTCAGACATTGACAAATGCAGGGGAGAGCATGGGAGATTGGCAAATCTGAACTGCCTGTACCCAGGGCCCTGTTCTAACTTCACACTAACTGCTAAGGGAAAAAGAACACCCAGCACAATTATAGACTCTTCTCAATGCCCAGCAGCACTCAAAAGCTAAATAAGGTGATGAAATACAAAAAGAAATATCCTAGAAAAGACCCAAAAAAGTGGGAAAACATTTGTTCCTGTTTTCCTTTGAAGCTCACAATAAGCTGGGGTCATTCCTGCTCACCTGGGATCTGTCATAGGAGAGGGCCATGTCTCTAACAGCTCCTAAATCCATTCTCAGGTGCAAAAATCCTCCCAGCATCCCTCTGTTTGCAAAAATCAAGGCTTTGTGCTCATTAATAGGAAAAGCTCTATGGGTGGCCTGCAGCTGATATTCTTTTGTTTGCTGGACCCCAGTCCGTGCTCAGGTCTAAATGACTGATTCAGCCCCGAGCTGCTCTTAAGACTGATTTGACCAAAGGCACTGAAGCTCTGTTGACTACAAATTGTCCAGGAAAACAAGCACAGGAACTTAGCTAATGTCAGTGACAGAAGCAGAGTGCAGAGTTGAACCTGTGAAGCCATCTCACTGCCGCCTCCCCCCACCCTTTTATTTTGAATTGATTTAATGTCTGGGGTGCCAGTTCTTGCATGAAATGGGTCCTCAGCAAGGATCTGCTGGGCCTCCTTGTGGTAAAAAGGCAAACTGAAATTAAAAGGAGGTTGATGGCTTTTAAAAAAAACATATGCCTGTTTTTAAAAGCTTAGATTAGCAGAGGACAAGGCCTCAGGGTAAGCCTAGGGCCTGCGCGACAAGCCAGAGGTAGCTCTAACAGTGCTGTGTAACAAGGTGTTCCTGTGGACACGAGGTACCCTCGAAAGAGCCCGGGTGCTCCGCACCCAGGGATGTTTTAAAGTCTCCTCGGGGTGCTTGATTGTTGCGCTTTGGATCCTCTGGCCCACTGGTCCTTTTCTGGGTCGCTGACAGCTCTGTAAGAGGATGCAGTCCTGACCAATCATTTTGGAACACAGCAATCTTACTAGGTGGCTCGTTTCCCAGTCCTAGTTCCAGTTGCTGTCATCACCCTAGGATGTGACTTTTCTAGAAGATTCTTACTCTTGCAACCCCCCTGTCTCTGTTTAGTAGCCATAGACATACACTTAAACAACTGTACATTCAAGTCAATAACTTACCATATTAATTGTATATCAACTCATTATATTAATTAACAATCCACAATAACATATAATTAACCATCAATAACTCCACCTATGAAAGTGAATTTATTTATACCATCCTGGGTGTCTCCCTTTGTGCTCCCAGTGCTTCTGGTCTGGTTTGGCTGAGAAATTTGTCCATCATGCCTCTGTATCTGTTTCCTGTCATTCCAATGCATGGCCCTTTCCCGCTGCTTGGCATTTAAATACTCTGATTATTTGACTGGATACCTTACATCTTGCATTTCATCACATTAAATTGTGTTAATCAGACTCTGTCCTATCATGAGTTTCTGGAATACATTTCCAAGCCTTCCAGCTGTAGCCCAAGGGAAGCTGTTTCTGTCTTGCATCACAAAACTGGCAGGTATTTTGCAAAGACAGCCCTTTACAAACAACATGTTGTGTGCATTAACATCCGAGGGGCTGCTTTCCAAGACAGACAAAAAACCCATGAACAAACAGCAAACGAACCAAAAAACATATTAAAAACGGGTACTTCCATTTTAGCTCTTGCTTTCAATGTTTTCCAAGCCAGCCTCCTTTTCCACTGCAGTATTTTTCTTTGCAAACCCTTGCAACAAACCCTTGCAAGATGATGTGACTTATCAAGGAAAACACAACTCACACACAATGCATATATTGAAGTAAACATGCAGACTCCCATTATCACAATCATCATAATATATGTTGCTGTTCATTTTTATGTCGGATTGTTTTCAGAAGGGTGAGGACAGTATCTCAGGTCCCCGGCTAGTTTGATGCCGTAGCCACTTATTATCTCCTTTCTTACAAGCTGTCCTCCTGGTAGTTCCTCTGCCCATTGGTTGCTCTTGTATCTCTGCCTCCTTCACCTATTTTTATCTTTTTCTGCATTTGTGGGGATGTTTGTGTTGGTTTGGTTTTTTTTCTTGGTGCTTGTTTTGTTTGCCTGTTTTATTTGGTTACAGTTTTGCTTTTGCTTTTTGCTTTTTGCTTTTTGGTTTTTTTTTTCATCCACTTAACAGCAGAAATAACCTTGTGATTTGTATGGTGAAGTTTTGATACACAGGTGTTGCACATAAATGTTGTTTTTTTTTTTAAAGTCATCTCAGACACAGACCTGCAAGCCCCTGTGACTGGAGAACTGAGTGCTCTCAGACATCAAATTGTGCATGAACAGGAACCTTGTAGTTCCTATCTCCTTTACACAGGGCAAAATGTAAAGTGGTTGGAATGGTGCCAATTCTAGCCTTTCTTTTGCCTTGTTTAGCTGCCATGCCATACCACTGTGCTAGAGTCCTCAATGAACTCGGTTCTCCCAGGATGGGGCGTGCAGGGATGATCCCTCAGCTCATGTGTGCACCTGGTGTGCACCAGGCCAGGCACGTGGCCATCAGCCACAGCCAGCCTCTGTCTGCAAAGAGAGCAGGGAGCTGCAGCTCTGAGGAACTTTGGGGTTAGGGAGCAAACAGACCAAATCCCTAATTCATATCAGTCACTTCACTTGAGTATTTTCTGATGATAGATTTTTATCTTCCTGCCCAGAGATGGAAAAAAAGAACGCTGGCAGTTTGCTTTAGCTATGAAGTGAAGAGACTCTTCTCTACAGGTTCCGGGGCTGCTTCTTGTTTGAACTAAAAGCAGAGCAAAACTCTTCTGTTGGTCACATCAAACCAACATAAGTTTCAAGAGTCTGTGAAAGACATAAGAGTGAAAATATTATTTCATAATCTTGTACTTACTGTTTTCTAATTCAGCCATGGAGTAATTAGACCATCATCCACTATATCAAATAACTAGAATAAGTTCTGGAAAAGAATATTTTTTTTAAACTAAGTTTTAAAAAAGGGAAGGAATTCCATGAAGAAAACTATGTGGTAAAAAAAGAGTATTTTAAACTTCTCAAAGCCTTTGATAATGGGGCCCTGAACACCAGTCATGTGCAGTGCAGCCTTGGCCATCCCTTTGAGCCCAGAACTGCCAAGGGTCAGGGCTGGGATGAGTCTTCACCCACAACTGGCTCCAAGACTGAGTGGGAATCAATCCAAAACAGGGCTCACACAAAGAGCAAAGCCTCAAGGCCAAAGCCAAACCTTCATTGGTTGGATTTCTTTAAACACTGAACTGGAACAAATTTGCTTGACGGGTAACATCACTGTTACCATGAAACTTTACAGCAGCTACTAAATAAGCAGTGTCCTGTCTTGAACTGTGTTGCCCAAATACTGTTGAGAACTTGCTGTGCCTCTGCCCTGTGCCCCTGGGGCTGCTCTTGGCCAGGCAGCCTCAGTGGGAGCCAGCACTGGCTGCAGCCCCAGCGGGGCCCCAGGACAAGGCCCAGCAATGAAGGGGCCAAGGAAAGCACTGGGCAGCAGCAGAACCCTCAGCAGAGTGCTTTGGACAGCCATGGACTGGCCACAGCTCCACTGCAGAATGACTACGAGTCAGGCTACCCCTGCTATGAGCAGAGTGACAAGAAAACTGGGGAGAAAAATCAACAACTGACCCTCTGCTCTCGTACATCTTCCGAATGCCAAGATAGCAGCCCATCAGCACAAGTGGCACAGAGAACAGTGTCACCACTGTGCCTATCATGCAGGACCTGCGCACATCCTGGGGGCAGACAATTCTTCGGGTGCTCGGTCCATTCTGGGCATTTGTACTAGACTTGCCAAGCATTTCTGTGGGAACAATGGGGAGCGTGAGCCCGCACTGTGCTGCAGCACAGTGGATGCGGCCAGGACGTTCTCTGTTTGCCCCAGAGCTGGGGCCTGCAGGCACCTTGCCACCCCTTGGCACAGGCTGTGCCACCCAACAAAGCCCAGCAGGCCGGCAGGAGAGCCCGGGGCCAGCACAGCTGCTTGGGCCGTCTCTGCTTGGAGGGACAGGGACCAAACCCATCCCTGAGCAGCCCCTGCCAGCCCTGGCCCTCCCTGCCCCGTGACAGCTCCCCCAGCCCCAGGGGACAGCGTCAGGCCCTGTCAAGACACACTGGAGCAATTACCTCCTGTGCCAGTGCCTGGAACTGCCTGCCCTCCTGCAGTGAAAGCTGGCACTAGGCCACTGCTTCTTTCTGGAACAGTCACCTTCTGTAGAGACTCCTGGTTCATCGCTTGAGAAAGCAAAGGCACATCTGGATGAGATGGGACTGTTCCCCATCGGGGAGGTGCCATCTTCATAAGCCAATACTGGTCAAAGTCATGGAATGAAGGATCAGGAAATCAGATGAGCTTTTGGGATTGGACAGGACCTTCCATTCTCCAAACCACCACCCCTCCTGATCTGCTTGGAGGCTGGGAAATTGCAGGGGATGTCAGGTTGTGCATGGACAATGGTGGAGTTGGGGCTCCCTGTCAGCTGCTGCCAAATGCCTTCCTGCAGAAGCTGGGGAGGAGCTGCAGCCAGGCCAGGCTGGGAAACAGCCCTGCAGGCTGTGAGAGCAGCAGCGGGGCAGCAAGGCTGCCATGGATCCCTTCCTGCTGTGCCAGGCAGGGCCTGTCCAGATGTGCAGGGAAAGGCCCCGTCTGCTGAGTCCCAGGGGAAGGCTGAGGGAAATGCACCCACCACGGCGTCTCTCCAGATCACTCAGCATCTGGTCCAGATGCCTGGCTGCCTCCAGGGATTTCTTGTCTTCTCTGTCCTGGTTCATCTCTCCAGGAGGACCTTAACAGAAAAGTGTTGCACGTCTCCTTCAGGCCGCAGTGGCAGTGAGTGCCCCTGGGTGATTGGTGCCCTCCAAGGCACTCCCTCAGCTCTGCCTTCCACTCAGGAGCAGAGGCAGGGAGACCACGAGCCTGCGGTGGCCCCACACTGGGAAGGAAGGAGCCCCTTGCGGGGCAGTTGGGGCAGAAAGGACTCCCTGGAGCTGCCAGCAGCTCTAAACCCAGCCCCAGACAGGGCCAGGGCTTGGCAGCGGCAGCAGGAGCAGCTCAGGCTCCCTGGGGCAGGCAAAGGAGCTGTGAAAGGCTCAGCCCCGGGGCACAGCCCTGGGCCCAGCCCCTTCCCTCTCTGTTCTTCTCTGGGGTTGCACAGAGCACACAGAAGGACACTCTGGCATTGCACATGGAAGGAGGATGGACAGCTAAATGCTCCTGCCTTCCACTGACAGCGATCCTGGGAATCACTGTTGGGCTCTAGAAGGGAGCAGGGCAAGTCTTCCAGAATCTTTCAACCCTGAGATAATGTTAAGTCAAGTGGATCATGAGTGAGCTCTTGTCAGAATGACATTGATTTTTCTGCCAGGAAAGGCACACGGAGTACTTGCCTCCACCACGATTTAGATTCCTCAAACTGTCCTTCACCAGATTTTCCATATAAGCCATGTCACGATCCCAGTCTAGAAGAGAGCGAAGATTAGAACCATTTCCATGGTGTGCTGGGAACCCCCTCTTCCTGTGGGAACTGGGCACTGCAAGGGGGTCTGGTAAGGCCGTGGGAGCCTGATGTAAAAGGACAAAGCGAAAGCTGTACAGGGGTCTGGGGAGCGCTGGGCTGGCTCCTGGCCTCTCTCCACCCTCTTTGCAGGCCCTGTGCAACATCCCTGGAGGGGTGGCAGGAGTACCCCAAGGGCCCTGGGGCCCTCTCCCTCCCACAGAGGGAAACATCCCTAAAGTCCTGGGGATAAGTACAGCATGTAGTGCCAGAACCATTCCTTCCCTCTGGCACTCCCTCTCTCCCTCCCTCTGTTGGAACTGCTCCCCCAGCCCCAGGACTCATACCCAGGCCCTGTCAGGACGCCCTGGAGCCTTGCTCTCCCCCTCTGCCCTTTCCCTACCATGGGTACCCCGTGCAGTCGCTCCCAGGTTTCAGGATGTGTCTCCCACAGAGGGACCCCAGCAGGACTGCTCAGTACCCGAGTGCCCTGAGCATAACAATCCCTCTGGGCTGTGCCGGCCTTGTCTGGGCTGTGCCCGCACTGTCAAGCAGCAGAGAGCGCAGCTCAAGGCTCAGCGGGGCTCAGGCCCAGAGGCACAGCAATTACCTCCTGTGACTCTGCCTGGCATCACTTCTCTTCCTAGAGCAGAGGCTGGCACAGAATCTCTGCTTCCTCTGGGAAACACTGCCTTCAGCACAGCTTCTCCATCTACTTTGGAAGAAAGGGAAAGGCACAGCTGGAGCAGGTGAGGCTGTATCCCTTAGGGGAGGGCGCATCTTCAGGAGGCAATGCTTGTCAAAGTCATTGATATGGATCAGGAAAAGGCACAAGCTGTTGGGACTGGGCCAGAGCATGCCCGAGTGAGTAGCGCTCCCTTGCAAACAGCTGTGCCTCCTGATGTGCTCAGAGACAGGGAAACTTCAGGGGATTTCAGGGTGTGCATGGCCCATGGTGCAGTTTGGGGTCCCTGTCAGCTGGTGCCAAATGCCTTCCTGCAGAAGCTGGGGAGAAGCTGCAGCCAGCCCAGGCTGGGAAACAGCCCTGCAGGCCAGGAGAGCAGCAGCGGGGCAGCGAGGCTGCCATGGATCCCTTCCCGCTGTGCCGGGCAGGGCCTGTCCAGATGTGCAGGGAAAGGCCCCGGCTGCTGAGTCCCAGGGGAAGGCTGAGGGAAATGCACCCACTTTGTCTGGCCTGCTCCATTTCCTTCAGCATTTGCTGCTTGAGTTTGTATGGTTCCAGGGATATCTTGCCTGCAGCATCTTGTATCTTTCCTGTTGGGGGACCTTAAGAGAAATATTTCCATTTCCTAGGAATGGATTCCACAAAACCAGTGCCCAGCCTGCGGGGTCAGCAGGGACACACTACTCACCCCTGCGATGGGAGCTGGGCTTGCAGGCAGTAACTAGCAAGGGAGCTGGAGAAGCCCTCCCTGCAGCCACACCTGTAACTCAACAGCCACAAGAGCTTCTGTCATCTCTGCAGATCTGCCCGGGCAGCACTGAGCTGCAGGAGTGATGAGGGGATGGCCCAGGGCGAGGGCACACCCGTGCATGGTTCTGTCCTGGCACCTGCAGTGATGCCCCCCTGGCCGAGCTTTGGGCTCTGAGCTGGCAGCTCTTGCAGGGGGAAAGGCCTTGACCTACCGTCAGCATCTCCCAGAAGCTCAGTGATGGGTATGGGTGGGGAAGCTGCACCACCTTCACCAACAGGTTCAGCTGCAAAGAAAGGTGTAGTAGATAGGGACAGGCGAACGGAAGATCCCGGGATGTGACGGAAAGAAAGACCCTTCCCCCTTCACCTTGCAACACGATATCTACCACCCCCAGAACATGTAGCCACACCTAACCCAGTAGTTGTCCACTCCTGACTAACCCTAGAGACCCTACCAACCCCCGTGACGTAGCAAAGTCCCCCAAGACTATTTAAACCCATGAGATAAGATAATAAACGCTTTCGACCGTCCACCACATTGGTGTCAGCATGTGTCGTTAGCCCGAATAGCCTGGACTAGGCTGGGCTGCCGTGCTGTCTCCTTGCAACCAGGTCGCCGTTGCCTCCCCGGAAGGCAACAGAAAGGCAGGACAGAACAGCTCCTGTGACACTGTAGGAGATCCTCAGGCTGCACCCAAGGCTCAGCCCTCGGCCCCTTCCCTCTCTGCTCTTCTCCGGGGCTGCACAGAGCACACAGAAGGACACTCTGGCATTGCACACAGGAATAAAACTGACAGCTAAATGCTCCTTCCTCCCACTGACAGTGATCCTGTGGGATCACTCAGGGCTCCAGAAAGGGAGCAGGGCAAGGCTTCCAGATTCCTTCAACCCTGAGACGATCTTAAGGGAAGTGGAAGATGGGTGAGCTCTTGTCACACTGACTCTGATTTTTGTCTCAGGAAAGGCACATTCAAAACTTGCCTCCAACATCATCCAAGAACTTCAAGCCATTTTCCAGCACGGCTTCATAATAATCCAAGTCGCCATCCCAATCTAGAAGGGAGCACAGATCAGAACCATTTCCTTGGTGTGCTGTGGTCCCCTTCTGCCTTTAGGAACTGAGCACTTGCAAGGGGGTTGGGTAAGGCCGTGGGAGCCAGATGTGAATGGACAAGGCCAAAGGAGCACAGGGGCCTGGGGAGCTCTGGGCTTTGTCCTGGTCACTCTCCACCCTCTTTGCAGGCCCTGGCAACATCCGTGGAGGATAGGGTGGTGCAGCCCTATGCCCATTGAGACTCTCTCCCTCCCACAGAGGAAACCCTCTCTAAAGCCCACGGGAAAACCATCCCCAGCGCTTCCCGGGGAGCAGGGAGCGCTGTCCCGAGAAAGGGCAGCCAGGCTGATGGCTCACCTGCTCCCTGCGCTTTCATCGGAGCAGCCTGGGCAGCCCTGGCAGGCAGGGCCACGACCAGGAGGAGCAGGAGGAGGAGGCAAAGAGCAAGGGCCATGGTGCCCTGCCCTCTGCCAGTCCCACCACTCTTGCTGCCACCACTCTCCTGACACCGCTGTCCCAATGTCAGCACCACTGCTGCCACCGCTGCTGCCGCCGCAACAGTTGTGCTCAAGGACTGCCTGCTTGGGCATTGTGGTGCTGTGCAGCCACGGGGCTCTGGGACCTCTATGACCTCACAGCCTGCTGTGACCTCAGCCTGCTGTGACCCCAGATCCTGCTGTGACCGCATGGCCTTAGCTGTAGCCCCAGAGTGCACCCCCTATCTGAACAAATGGACTGCCCTGATTTTAAATGTTTTGCTTCATCCAAGGGCCATTGCTCAGCAAAACCTTTATTTTGCCTTCTTACATTGCTGGTCAGACTGTGTTCCTGGAGATGCTCTTGACTGATGCAGTACAAATTTATTTTATGGCTTCCTTGAAAGGTGGTTTATTCTGTTGTACCCCTTTGTTGTCCTTGAGTTTGTTTACCCCTGTGTTTTGCCCTCCCTCAAAGCTGACCCTCATGCCATTCCCTGCCCCTTGTTCCAGCTCTTTCCCTGCCTGTCATAGCAACCCAGCCCCTTGTTCCCCAAACCTTCCCTGCCACTTTTCCATCGGGCCAATCCCTGATTGCAACACCCCTTTGGGATGCCCCAATTCCTCAAGGCCCCATTGGCCCGTGTGACCCATCCTCTCCACTTTCCTACCCCAATTGGCTCCAGACACTGGATGTGATCCCCTCACTCCCCCCTTGAGGATTCCCTCTTGGTGAGCTGTTTGTATCCACCCCTTGGTTTGTATCTTTCACTGGAGTGCTGGGGGCTCTTTGTTTCTGCTCTCTTCACCCGAAATAAACTCTTTCTTGTGGAACCTCAAGACGGAGAGCTGCCTTCTCTCTCCTCTGCCCGGTCCCTGTTGTGGCTTGTGTCTGGCACCTTAGAGCAAGTGGCTCTAAAGGTTCTACCTCTGGTAAATGCCCATACCAAGGCACTTCCCCACTCCTGGTGTGACACCGGAGTTCTAAGAGCTAGACTGAGTTCTGGTAGTGACTTCACTAATCTACAGAATGCCTCTTCTTCTGTGCCTGCTCTGGTGCTCTGCCATCTCACACACCAGAGTGTGATTCACATACTGCCGCCCAGAGTTAGGTTTTTGCAACACTGAAATGGGTGTGATCAGCAGGATTGCTGGGGATCAGTCGCTACAGAACAAAACAAAATGTGTGCACCATCCCAGGCTGGACTTAAATAGGCACAGGAATTTTGGGAAGATGAGGACAGGATAGCAGAGAACAATGTAAAAATCGGCTGGAAATAAAGGGAGGAAATGCTGAAGTAGCTGTTATGTGTAATATGGATAATTAGTGCCTATAAAAGGATATATAGATGTAATATTTTGTATTGGCAAGAAATATTTGTATAAAGCATGCGAATCAGAGCCAGGTGATCACCTCACATATGTAAAAACCACCACTGACAAGAGGGAGGAGGACTTCATTTACAAACGAATAAATGTAGCTCGTCCAGAGATGGGTTGTTCCCCAAGGTGATCCAAGGAGGAACTCCCAAGTGAGGATCGTCTCAATAACTATCCAAGACTGAGATCGCTGGAGCCACCGGAATGATACATCTTAATGCCAAGTTCCAGTAACTCAATCAGGGACGGACATCACTCTCCGGACACGGATTTGTTCAACCTAACCTAGAGAAAAGAATTCAATTAATATGTGGTACTCTGAATGGAAACAAAAGCCTTATCACTGAAAACTCTGCCTCAGGCAAAATAAACTGTATAAAAACCACTTGAACAGGATGGTCAGTGTGAAACATAGGGGACCATATGCTTTAGGCATCAGACTTGTGTCTCACACAGCGCCGTCTCAGGCTGGGCACTGTCCTTTTTGTTGTGGCTCTCTCAGACTGAACTTGATTGCTGAATACAACTTATTTTTATTAATGTTTAATTTGGCTGGAACAGTTTTTACCTATAACAAAGTGATTTGTGCACATTTGTGTGGCTCCCCCCGTCACGCTGCCCCCCGAATAATCCGACTAGCTCAGAGATAAGGGGCTGTGATGGGAGGAATATCAGGAGAAGGGTAAAGATATTCAAAAGAGGCTCTTACCCCAGGAGAAGTTGGTACAGCCCTCTTTATTCTGTGTTGTCCATGTGGAGAGTGGGGCAAAAGAGCACGAACAGGAAATGTCAGGGGTCTATATAGGTTTTGGAAGGGGTGGGCTTTCCTGGTTCTCCGCCAACCCCATTGGGGTAGAAAGGAGGGTCCAGGGGTTATCTTGATCAGAGTCACAAGGTCCCGGGGAAGGGGGGGGCACAGGATGCCCATGAGCTCACTGTAACACAATTGGGGGTTTATTTTTCTAGGGTGCAAAGCAAAATCAAAAGTCCCTAAATGCCCAAAAGATTGGAAATGTGGAATGTCCTCCACAGCAAGGCATTGGACCTCTGGATCCTTAAAACAATTTTATTGTGCTGGAACAGTGGCAGTTTGAGCTGGTGCCTCTGGGGGGACCCTGAACAAAGAACCTCTGGACAATTATACCCTCCCAGCTGAAGTGTGATAGTCTGGGGCCTTCCTGCTGTGTCCGAGTGGCCTGTCAGCAGCTGGCACCACAGGTCCCCAGGTCCTCTGCTGAGCCATCCCTCTCCTACACCCAAGTTTAGTCTGTCCCATTTGGCTTTTCTCCCTGATCCACCACCAGGACCACAAGAGCACATCGTGATGAGGATGTAAAAATGCCTGTTCTTGCTGGAAGATTGCTGTTGCATGACACCCCTGCAGGCAGAGCGGGCAGCTGTAGGGATGCTGACTCGTTTCCCTGATGCCAGCCCTGCTGCATTCATCAGAGCTCCTGGGTGTTGGTGCTCGCTGGGAAGCAGCCCGGCACCACGGGGAGTTACAATGCGTCTTCAAAGAATGCCCACACATTAAACCACACGATTTAGCCTGGGATTTTAAGTTGTTTCTCAACTTGAAGAGGGACTAAACAAGTCTGGAAAAGGCCTAAACAAGTCTCCTGGGAATTTTCTCCCTGGCAAATTCAGTTCCGCCCCCGAATGGCCCTCAGCATTCTCAAGGCAGCGGCAGGAGCCGGGTGCTGACCCGCAGCCCCATTGGGCATGGAGAGCATGGCACAGAGCGAGCCCTTGCCGCCCGGGATGGCCACAGGCCCGGGAGAGCCGAGCAGGCAGTGCCAGGGCCCCGCTCAGGGCCCCCCGGGCTCCTCTGGCATCGGTTCCATCCCCTCGGGCGCTGTGCGGCGCGCCGCTGGGCCTGCAGGGCTGTCTGTGCCCGGCCCCAGTGGAGGCAGGGCTGTGGCTGTGCCCCCTCGGCTTGGGGTGCCGCCTGCCCAGTGCTCAGCACCGCCTGTGCCGTGCCCGTGCAGCGCGACCTGGCAGGGCAGCTCCGCCTCGCCCGCTCGGCACAGCTGTCCTGGCCCAGTGGCTGCCCTGGGCTGCGGCAGCCCCGAGCCGGACAGGCCCGGCAGGGAACCTGGGAGGGCTCCGTCCCCTGCGTGCCTCAGAAGAGTCTCCAGCCCCACTGCGTGCAGCAGGAGGGACGCAAAGCACCGGCACGCTTATGAGAGTCCACAGCCCTCTCCACATCTGAAATGAGACCCCGAAACCCCGTCCTGTACTCAGCAGAGACCCCTGGCACTCTGCACACCTTGGGAGAGATCCCAACCCCCTCATGCCTCACATGGGATTCCAAAGCGCATACATGTGGACCCCAGTGCTCTCCATGCCTCAGAGGGAATCTAAAATATCCCTGTGTATCTCACAAGGGACCCCAGTGCCTGGTGGACCTTATGGGATCTCCAAAGCCCCCACGTGCCTTATGTGGAATCCCAGGCCAGCTACGCCAAGTGTTTTGTCCTGGAAATCAAGTGTGGTTGCAGCTGGGTTGTTGTGCCTCTGGGGCTGTTCATCTGCCCCATCAGGCCCTAAGGCCACACAGCCCTTCCCTTCCCTTCCCTTCCCTTCCCTTCCCTTCCCTTCCCTTCCCTTCCCTTCCCTTCCCTTCCCTTCCCTTCCCTTCCCTTCCCTTCCCTTCCCTTCCCTTCCCTTCCCTTCCCTTCCCTTCCCTTCCCTTCCCTTCCCTTCCCTTCCCTTCCCTTCCCTTCCCTTCCTTCCCTTCCCTTCCCTTCCCTTCCCTTCCCTTCCCTTCCCTTCCCTTCCCTTCCCTTCCCTTCCCTTCCCTTCCCTTCCCTTCCCTTCCCTTCCCTTCCCTTCCCCTCCCTTCCCTTCCCTTCCCTTCCCTTCCCTTCCCTTCCCTTCCCTTCCCTTCCCTTCCCTTCCCTTCCCTTCCCTTCCCTTCCCTTCCCTTCCCGCCCTCTCCCACAGGAGCAGACTTTGTGCAGCACCCTGGATTGGTGATGGCCCATCAATTAGGTCCTATCAAGTGTGTGTTAACTGGGGAGAAGCTTTGTTTTTTTCCTGCTGGCATTGCTGGTCAGGCTGTGTCCCTGGAGATGCTCTTAAAGGCTTCCCTCTTTTCCTGGGAATGCCACTGGAGGAGGTCCAGGCCCAGATGATCCCACTGAAGGAAATGTGCCCTCAGCCCAAGGACGCTCAGCATGGGCTCCCCCAGCCCCTCGGGGCCCCGCTGCTGGTCACAGCAGCCCCTGCCTGGCTCCTGCCTGCCCACACTGTGGGCATCCACGGCTGCTCCTGGCCATGGAGCTCAGCCACTACTGGTGCCGGATGGGCTTTGCTGGTGGTACCACCCGGACACTGGGGTGACAGCTCCATCTCTTTATTGAGTTAGAAGAAGGGGCCATCGCCTGCACTGGCAGATGGAGGGAAACGGGAGGGTCACTTACAATGCTGTTTAGTAGGCAGGGCCAGGGGGCTGAGGGGAAGAGGAAGGGTCATGTTGGTCTCAGTTGGGCCTGAAAGGTGCTGGGCTGATACTGGGATTTCCAGAAGAACTTGGGAATGGGAGGGGACGGCACATAGGGAGATCAAAAATGGATGAAGGCAGCTTGTGGATACCCATGGGGAGAGGAGGTGGCAGCAGGATCTACAGGGTCATAGGAGGTTTCCTCGTAGATGGCTTTTCTGGGGTCCTCTTCTCTCAACTTTTGAGAATGCTGACCAGGCCCTTCTTACTGCTGGAGGTGCTGCGCCAGCTGTCTGGGTGTGAGGTGCACCTACCATCTTCCATCTCCTGTCCAGAAGCGTGACTGTGCAAAGAGGTGAGTGGCTGAGGCCCAGGCTGCCAGTGGCACACAGGGAGCCTCCTGCACAGCAGGGCCCAGAGCTGGCAAGGCTCCCCAGCACGGCTGGAGTGGCTGGCACACCTTGGCCCAGCTGGACATCAGCCCCTCAAGGCCCCGGCTGTAGTTTTCCCCCCTGCACGCAGCTCCCCGAAGAATCCGACTAGATCAGAGATAAGGGGCTGGGGTGGGGAGGAATACCAGGAGAGGGATAAATAT